AGGACTCTCTTCCGTGCAAGCCGAGCCCTCTATCCTCCGATAAGTTGATACCGGATCCGTTTGGGAGGATAAAAGATGTGACTCTTACATCGGCTGACCCGCAAGTCATTTCTTCGCACTCAATAAGCCACTACCGTTCTGAACGGCAGTAGAATGCTGCCTCATCTCAGAAGGGGATTGATCAATGGCTAAGACGTTCCTTTATCGTCTTATTTTAGTTCTCCTTTTCTTGCCATAAAGATGCTTTGCACAGTGGGTGCTGGGTATATTTCCTTATTGTGAGGATCAGCTCTGCAAAGCTTAGAGACTATTGGCCAAGAGAAAGGATGGTAACTGTGGGCCAGAGGCTTATGATCTAACTCTGTTCTTCAGTTTTGGTCCAGTCGCAGTATTCACCTACTTTCACTGCTGTCTACCTTCATCATGCGGCTGGGTTCTATCGCCCGGGGTTGTCGGTTCAGTCGCTTAAGCGTCCCTGCGTCTCTGTTCATCACGTGCTCTTCTGCTCCTCCAATGGTAAAAATCAGCCGGCTCTTTTCGGGGCGTTTTGGAAAGGACACTTGCTCTCCATCTTCCAGTATATCAGTTAGCACTTAAAAAGTTGCATTTGAATCCTGCTGACCACGATTTGCAATCACAATATATGCCCCTGGAGGCACGATTTAGCACCCAGTCGTTATGCAGACCCTTTCGTGTTGCCTGGCAGTACAACAGAATATTCTTCTGTGATAAAAAGTTATGAAGCTCTCGTTGACCTTTTCCATTTTGGGATGCGGCACATAGTCTGCTTCCATTCAGAGTTGTGGTGGCATTTCAAATGGCCTATACAAAGGCCTTGTTTAGGGGGTTTTGTTATCCTCCCAGTCGAACAGGTGCCACTTTATCGTTCGTATAAGTAGAAGTCTTGGTTGGTACATGCGATTCAGGACTTGACGTGGGAAGAGAATCACTTGTCACTACATAACCTTTCCTTCCTTATTCTTCTGTAATGCTTGGGAGAAAGAGACGAAAGCTCGCGCGGACGTTGTGTGACAACCTGTGCCTCTTTCGTTATGGGACCTCTTCCCTTTTGCAGAAAAACATTATCTCGCAGTCCGTGTCAACCAGGTTAAGGTTCTTAGTGGGGAATTCGCTGCTAACTATCTAATATTGCAACATTCTTCGTATTATGCTGTCCAAGCACTACGAACCTGGTAACGGAGGCGCACCGTTTTATCACGTTGACATCCAATATGGTGGAATGTCATGTAATATGTTGCCATGTCTTGTTTCGTGAAAGATAAGATCGTTGAATAAACGTTGACAACATTTTAATAAAACGTTTCCACTTGTTCTCCAGATAGGATTTCTGCCCAGTCTTCCCGTAGTCTTTTTTAAAGATAATGAAAAAAGTCATTTGCAGGCGTTGTCTGGACTTTTTGTCCTTCTGCTATGAAAAAGTGTGTTCGGGTTCACTTTCAAACTAAATCTTGCAACGCGTCCTGAAGGCTTTCTCGGAGAGCTGTCGGTGGGTCTATCATTAGTTTTCTTTTGCCCTTGAAGTGATATCTTGGGATTATTTGTGTCTTTCAATTGTAGACATGGGACGAAGCTGAGAGTGATCTCAAAGCTGCATTAAACGAGAGTGGAAGGCCTTGGAAATTGAATGAAGGAGATGGCGCCTTTTATGGACCTAAAGTATGGTGTCACCTATAGATCTCTGCCATTACTTTCAGCTCACTATGTTTCGTTTCAGATCGATATCAGTATTCAAGATGCATTAAGACGTAATCATCAGTGCGCAACGATTCAGCTCGATTTCCAATTGCCTCAGCGATTCGACTTGAGTTACTTTGAGTACGTTTATCTGTGTACCTTTCTTCTTATCGTTCACTTGTAAGTAAGATCGAGCTTGAAATATGCGATCCTTAATCCCGAATTGACAGGCATTTCTGAGAACTTATCCTCGCATTCTTGTATCCCATTTTTTTTTGATGTGAGGCGAGGTTAGTGGGCATGAAATGCCATGCATCACCACGCGCGCGGTCCAGGGGATCGGCTCGAAGCCAGGCCAATCAAAGGCCTTCCATCCCGCGAGGACGCGCAAATTGGGTACCAGATCCGTGCGAGTTTTGAAACTAGACGTGTACATTGGCTGGTCCCCGCAATTCAATTGTGCGTCCGCGCACACTCATCAACAAGATTGGGTCAAGCGGTAAAGTTTTCTACCTCACTGCTTTCATTTAGTTCCTGGTCCGGTCGACAGCGGGGCTGGAATTCGACAGATGTAGCGTGACGCTTCTGAGTTCGCCCCATCTCACAAAAATGTGTCACCTTTCCCCGACTGGCGTCTAAGGGAAGAGGCAAAACGAATCATCTGTGCTTGTGGTAATGTATTTTCCTTTTCCAATATTTTGCTTTTCCTGCTTTTAAATTGACCTAAGCCGGAGCGTGGAGGCCGAAGCAGCGTAGTCTAGTTCGAGCGCGTCCCTCCAAACCATAAACCATAGAACTGGTACGTGTCTGTCTACTTTTTCGTTTTATCTACTCTTGAGTCTGCTGGGCAGCCTTTTGCCTAGTGTCGGCTCAACGATGTTGTGAACGCTTGCTTTCAGTGAAAAAGGTGAGAAGCAGCGACCTGTAATGATTCATCGCGCTGTGTTGGGATCTGTCGAGAGAATGGCAGCTATTCTGACTGAGAACTATGGTGGGAAAATGGCCATTTGGCTGTCTCCCCGACAGGTTAGTTTCGTTTGATGTCCTGAAGGTCCTTCAGAAGTAATACAAGGAAATGGTTGGGATTCAGGCTAAAGTCATAACTGTGCATGAATCGGTGAATCCGTACGCAAGACAGGTGAAAGAGAAGCTGTACAATGCAGGTTTTGAGGTAATTTAGTCCTCTCGTCTTGCCTAATTTGATTTGCTCCAGTCACGCTTTTTGTTCAAGTGTAGTATTGAATTTTAATTGTTCAGGTTGAATTCGATGAAGGTTGCCCAGATACTTTGAATAAGCAGATTCGAAATGCACAATTAGCTCAATTCAATTTTATTCTCGTAGTTGGACAGAAAAGAAGTTGAACATGGCACTGTAAACGTTCGCACAAGGGATAATGCGGTCAGTCTCTTCGCGACCTTTAAACCGAAATTTTTTTTCGCTGGGAGGTACTTGATGGGTTTTCTTCCCAAGAGGTACTGGTGGTTCAAGGTTCAAGAGAGACCCAGCTTCCAAGCCGTCAAAGGCCTTTTCTCCCAATAGTCCCTGATTTTCCATCAGAAACGCTCATGGAGGAGGCTTTTTATTTTAGAGAGGGCAACTCCGAAACTTGAGATATCTTGACCCAGGTGTACAGCCCTATCGAAACGTCAGGCTTTCTACAACACATTTCAACAAAAAGTCCAACCTATAGCTTTGCTTCAATCATTTTTCAGCGCTGTTCGGCTTGGAGGGGCATTTAGCACTTTCGTCTGGTTTCTTCTTGCTTGTACTTGTTGACTAACAGGTTAAAGCCTGTAAGCTCCTGCGAAGCGGCGAGTAGAAGTAAGCCACTTCAGTTGCAGAAACTTCGGTCTTGAACAGCGTGGCTTGTAAAACCCTTGCTGAATAGCATTTAATCTCCCCACCAAGCCAAACTGCGCCCGTTTCTCTTCTTTTCTTTACAAAATCAAAATGAGCATGGCATCATAAACTCAGTTGGGCGGTGTCCAGTTATGAGCGGCCCTTCTTATCCCCAGCATGAGCATCGCTTGTAGATTTCGTGAGTTTTCAGGTTCGAGGTGAAGTTGGCGTAGACGATCTGATAGCAAAATTCCGACGCTTTGCTGACGAGTATGTGAAGGACACAGAAAATGCAGAAGAGTTCTCAAAAGGAATTTCCGCAAACGGCTCTGAATAACTATGATAAGCTTACTGCATTTGTTCTGGTTTTATTGTGTCTTGTTGTCTGTTTTATTATCTGTCCTGCTACATATATTGTTTGGAAGCCTGTTATGTGGGTATGGTAGTGCGTCCGAGCTTTGGTGTTTTCCCTTTTTTTGGAGGAGTATGTTGTTAAGTATAAATACCTCTAGTCGTGATCAATTTGTTGGGTCAGTCATGTCCCACTACCTGCAAAAAGTGTGAGAATCAGGTTTGAGCGTTCTATGGTCAGCGTATTTTTTGAAATTTGAAAAAATGCAGGTTCGCAGCTTTAACGACTCCTCATTAAAATGTTGGGTCTTACTTCGAGTCTTACCGCCGCTGGTCTGCTACGGCTGATTAGAAGCCATTGGAAGATGACGCCTTTAAACCCGGTATTGCATTACATTGTTTTAATGACACTTTATTCCTGAATGTTATGACCTTTAGAAGTTCCGATTAGATTAATCAGCTTACTACAGTCATGATTGCTTGCATTTGGGGTTATTAAGCCTACTACTAATGCATTTGGATAGGTTCAGCACATTGGGTCGCACGGCCTCTTCAAATCGGATTACTTTTGTGCGAGGTCCCAAAAAAAAAAACGTGTTCCTCTGTATTTTTGATGACGATGAAAGCGAAGCAAGGGGGGGGAAATGAATAGAAGAGGTTTCGTGGCTTACGGATATCGTGAACGCAACGAATTACATTTTGAAAGTACGCTGCAAACAAAACTGGCATCAAGCTAAAGCATTGCATATAAATCCTGGACACCAGATTTAAATACGCCTGCTTCCACCGTACCGGAAAGGCCTGCGAACCCGTTCCGCAGGACGGTCTCCATGTGCCCTAATGAGCTACAACATAGCTGACGCTGGACACCCACCGTCCTCCTGCCGCCCACAATTACGACTTCCTGAGGATCAGTATGAAGCGACCGCGGTGCTGCATGGATATATGAGTACATGTGCAGCCGTATCTACCGTAGCGGTTATTGGCAAGATGCCTACGGGAAACTCGTCCGAAATTGCTTTTTGAGTCATTGAAAACGAAGGCTTTTCTTCGCAGGTTTTGACCGTTTCCCTCGTTTTTTTTCGCCATCTGACCACTGTATAGCATGCTAGCATCGAGTACCAAATCGTGCCGTATGCCTTTGAGACCGCGCACACTTTGAAACAATTCATTCGCTCGACGGTGACCCAACGTCCTCCACCGTTATTCGGTAAACCACTACAACACTCACGCCATAGACGACACGCTCAACCTCAAGAAGGCAGTCTTAACTGTGCTCATTAGTTCGAGCCCATGCATCATAGAGGTTCGGGTCTCTGCTACCAAGGGATATCCTGTTTCGTATCCGATGAGTCGTTATTCAATAGATTAGTATGTAAATACATGCAAGTCCATGTATCAAAGTTGTGTTGGTGTGAGGCTCCTTGGAGTCCCAGTGTTAAGTTGATCTGTGGGAGATACACTCCTTATCCCTGAGCCAGAGTAGGCGTGGCATTTGAACATGGCACGGAATTGGTTACTCGTGGAATATTCCAGTCTGGGACAACTGTCATCTTGTTCTGTGTTGGACAGAGACACGACAACAATTGTGTCAAGATGAAAATATCTCACCAGAAGCATAGACACCTTCAGGTTAAGTTGAAACATGCGGCCACGCCTACCCGATCTCAGGGATTTCGAGTATAAGAGGCGTTCTTTTTCAGAGCATTTGTCTGAGCGGCTCGCTTCAGTCACTACTCCATGTCGGCGTTCAGATCAGCCCTTAGCGGAAAACGCCCTAGCAATAAGTCCGAGCAACAGTAAGAGTTTTATCCTACAATGAAGGGTAAGAGCCTCAAGTAATTCAATCATTCATAAGCTGAGCAGATGTCAGGAGTAATTCTGTAAATCTCGAGCGAACGCGGTCCTGCTTAGCTGTATT